CAGTGGTTGTAAAGTTTCAGAGGAATATTTGGAACTATGGGAGGAAGTTTGAGGTCATCGAGCTTGACATTTGCGTTCTTGATGCTTCTTCTTTCGTTCGCATGAAATAAATTATCTATATCTGCAATGCTGTCTCTAGTATGAATTTCACTGTCTTTTGTAATTCACCAAGCGGCCCGTAAAGTTTGACTTCCACAAGTGTCTCTTTTGGCCAGAGGTTTTGCCTGGAAGCGTTGAATCTGGGACAGTCTTGGAGGATGCGATCTTTTGTCTCAGGTGCCAGTCCACATGTACACGTGGCTGATTGGCCAATCTTAAATTTGTTGTACATGTGGCAGCAAAGTCGATTGTGCTTTATTCTAAGGCGAAGGATAATGGTCTGTCCATAATATTTGTGGAGCTAAATGTTTCAGTGTCACTACAACTACTACTATTAATCCTGCTGCTACTACTACTAAAGCTGCTGTTGTTGCTGCTGCTACTAATACTACTACTGCTACTTCTGTAACTGCTAGTAGTGCTACTGTTGTTGCTCTTACTGCTACTACTACTACTACTACTACTACTACTACTACTACTACTACTGCTACTGCTACTGCTACTGCTGCTGCTGCTGCTGCTGCTACTACTACTACTACTTATGCTGTTAGAGTAACATTTTAATAAAGGTGAGTATATGTTCAGTTTCATACTATAATTTACTATTTCGAAGGGGGTTGGGGGTGTCTTTTTTTTTTTTTTTTTTCATAACTTGATTTTTTTTGTCAACGACATCTAGGGTTTTGACAAAAATCCCATCCAAGAACAGTGAGGCACAAAGTAACCAATCAGCGAGAAGTGGCCATTGTACATTCAAGATGGTTGACTTCTGAGTTAAGAACAACAAACGTTACGCAATGATCAGCAGTAACATGGTTTAGCCTGGTACCTATACTGTTTTAGTAAGTATATAGTATACACCGTTATAATTGTAGAATTCTGACTGAAATAGTTACGTATACACTTCTGTTCAAGATACGGTATGTTGCGAATATATTATTATTTGCTTTGAAACGAACGTAGTAAGTAGTTAGGACAGGTAGTAGGAGGAGTAGTAAACTGTTTACTAGTTATTTTTATAAAAATAAGAGACAAGAAATATTATTTCTTGTATTTTTTCTGATGGAATTTTCTTTTTCAAATAATATACTTTTACTTGCACTCGAGTTAGGTCCGGGTATTAGAGAATTCGGCCAAACTGAAAACGGCGACTTTAGGGGATAGGCATTCTCTAATTTGTTTACAGCGACCGTAAGGGACGCAATCTGTTATTTGTTGACATTCACATAATAATGTTCTTGTTCTCTAAAATTTAATATTCCTTCAGGTTAAGGTTTGTGTTTGGGGTTTAGAGTTAGGGCCAATCAAAAGCCAAACCTGAACTCTAGATCCTAATCTCAAACAAAATTAAAGAATTGTTTGTATGTTGACATTAACAAAATAATGTTCTCGGCTATATTTCGATTAACAGTCCCAAATGAACTACGCAGACAGTTAACCCAAACAGAGCCTCATTACGTCCTGCCCTACAAACATTTGAAAGAAAAGTATCAGGAAAATGGGGGAAGTCTACTACTTACCGATAGTGACATCCTCTATACATGACAATTGTGACACAGAAGTTCCAAATAGTGCGCGAATATCTGTTCTCTCTCGCTCTGCCACCATTGGAACTCAGCACCACGGCTTGTCCGCGATTCTCGTTGCGGGCGAGACATGATGAGCCTGTAATGTACGCGCATGTCGGCTCGGACAACTTCAAACGAGCAGCCACCGCGATGATAGTTCCGTCAAAAGTCGTAGCTCCCGTAAATTGTTGGCTTTTGCCCGGCGACTATAGTGCCACCTCCGAGAGTATCCCCTGCGCCGCTACGCGCGGCGCGGAAGGGACTAAACTAGATGGCTAGGACTCACGAGCAAATACATTGCAGGAAGTTGCAGGAGCTGTAACTGCTGCTCGTGAGTCCTAGCCATCTAGTTTAGCCCTGTCCGCGCCGCGAAAAGCGACCCGCAACTTAGATATAACTCGGGCCCTGCCGTAGAATACCGCTATCGGAAGTATTCTCGCGTGTCGGTAAATTTTTTCGTCCGCAGTTAATCCTAGTTCTGCCGCCGTGTAATCGCCACAAAAATGTTCCTTTGCATTTCGCGAAAATGTCGTGCGCAGTTAATACTACTTTCGACACGGTTGAATCGCCGCAACAGAAATGCAAATTTTACATATGTGTGAGGCTCTGTTTGGGTTAACTGTCTGTGTTGTGAGGCTCTGTTTGGGTTAGCTGTCTGCGTAGTTCATTTGGGACCGTTATTCGAAAGATAGCCATGTTCTCATTCTCTAAAATTTAATATTCCTTCAGGTAAGGGTTTGTGTTTGGGGTTTCGAGTTAGGGCTAACCCAAAGTCAAACCTGAACTCTAGATCCTAATCTCAAACAATATTAAAGAATATGATTATGTGAACTTATACAAACAATGAATGACATCCCCTAACACCTTAATCTCAAGTATTACTAATACTATTAGTAACTACCTTGCGGTAGATTGCATCTCCTAAGGTCACTGTTTGTTCAGTTTTACTTAGAATTTGGCTATCCTCTGAATAACGGTCCTAAATTATCGAGGCGGAAAATATACCCTTACAGAGCCTCAATCATGTGTCAATTGCGCACTTCCGGGGACTATAACGCCACCGCCGAATTGCGAACTTCCGTCGACTTCCGCCACCACCGAGAGTATCCCCCACGCCGCTGTTGCGGCGTGGGTTGGGGCTAAATTAGATGGCTAGGAATCACGAGCAAATAAAATGAAGGAAGCTGCAGGAGATGCGGTAGCTGCTGATCGTGAGTCCCAACCATCTAGTTTAGCCCCAATCCACGCCACGTGAGCATGCGCAATTGACACGTGACTGAGGCTCTGTTAGGGTATATTTTCCACCTCGATAATTCAGGACCGTTATTTGGAGGGTAGCCGAGAATTCTTCAGCAAGGGCCTGTTCTCTTCTGGATGCAGTGACAGAGGGAGAGAGGCTTTGTGATTGTCTCAGCATTGTAACATTAAAACATTGGGCTCTCCTTAGATCTCCCCCCCCCCCTCCCCCAAATTATGGCGGCCAAAGCAATACCCTAACAGGGCCTCAGTCGTCTGTGAAATGCGGACTTCCTGCGATGAACACATCATGGCAAAACTAAAATTATTTGACAATTTCAAGACAAGCAAAATTGCAGACAATAGTAGCAGATGATAATAGCGACCGTTAACAATTTCAAACGTTTCTGCAGACGATACTAGCAGGCGATGATAGCAACCATTGACAATTTCGAGACATGCAACAATACAGATGATAATAGTGACATGCCGGGGAGACCACACGCTCCGACGCAAATTTGCGTCGTCGTTGTCCTCACACTTTTCAGCAAACTCAAAATGCGATTAAACTCTTGCCGACAGTGTGCGCCGGGCATAGCGGCGCGGATGGGGATCTACACTAGATGCCTCGGACTCACGAGCAAATAAATTGGAGGAAGTTGCAGGAGATGTGGTAGCTGCTGCTCGTGATCCCAGCCATCTAGTTTAGCACCCCCCCCCCCCCCCCCCTGCCCATCCGTACCACTTCACTGTCGGTGGTGCGGTATAGTCGCAGAAACAGGTCTGCAATGAACATATCGCTGAGACCCTGTTAAAGCATTTGTTTGCCCTCGATAATATTGGCCCGTTATTCGGAGCCAATCCTTGTTTTGCACGATTTTTTCCTCAGCAGGAACTCTACATTTTGCATAGGACTGAGGCCCTGTTAGGGTATTTCTTTGGCCGCCATAATCTGGAAGAGAAGATTGAAGGAGAGCCAAACATTGGTGCCAGATAATGTTCTGAACTTTATCTTGAGGAATGGCTGCAGTTAAGGAACCAGTCCAGTTCATCGTTTGTGTTATGACTTAGAAAGTCTCAGTGGAAGTAAAGTTTCGCAAACCTGTAATCTACCTCTATGCTTTACATTCTTGACCAGTTGTGTAGATTGTGACCATTAGGTAAACAGCACTTTGATGCTTACTTTTAGGCTTGCCTTTATTTTCTCGACCAGATGTGTAGATGTGACCATTAGGTAAACAGTGTTTGCCTTTATTTTCTTGTCCAGATGTGTAGAATGGAAACATTAGATAAACAGCACTTTGATGCTTACTTTTAGGCTTGCCTTTATTTTCTTGACCAGTTGTGTAGATTGTGACCATTAAACAGCACTTTGATGCTTACTTTTATGCTTGCCTTTATTTTCTCGACCAGCTGTATAGATGTGACCATTAGGTAAACAGCACTTTGATTATTACCTCTGTGTTTGCCTTTATTTTCTTGTCCAGATGTGTAGAATGGAAACATTAGATAAACAGCACTTTGATTCTTACCTCTATGCTTGCCTCTGCTTTCTGGATCAGATGTGTAGAATGGAAACATTAGATAAACAGCACTTTGATTCATATTCATCATCATTATAGTCCCATAACACTGTAATTCGTCGGGTTACCAGTTACTGTTGACCATCTGATCTGTTCCTTCTACCACTGTCGGTTACATGTTTTGCTTGTTTGATGCCTATTCATTCAGCTAACTTCTGTATCCATGTCTTTATTAGTCTGCCTGTTCCCCTCTACAGAAGCCTGTAGTATCATTTTGGAGAGGCTGGTAAATCTTGTGACAAGTCCACATCATTGCATTTCTTGTCTTTTCACTTCTATCAATAATGTTCATAGTCCAGTCTGTTTATTGATAATACAATGAACCTCTTGTGATGAGATCTCTATATAACCAGGATCTTTCAAAGAGCTGTCATTTCCAATGCTTGTATTTTTGTGTGTGTTGAATGGTGACTACAAAATAGGCTGACAAATTGTTCACAGGCTGAAAAATTATGTCCACTATTCCTCTAGATGTGGCATCCCCTCAGGTGTGTACTAGTCACCAGCTGAGAAAATGGAGGACTGCCAGATGTTTACTGACGTCCACTCCAAGGAGATTCTGTCCACAATGAACTGCTTGAGAAAAGCTGACAAGCTCTGTGATGTTATCTTGAGAGTGGACAAGAAGTGCTTTCCAGCTCACCGAATTGTCCTTGCGGCCAGCAGTGACTATTTCAGTGCAATGTTTACAAATGGGGTAAGGTGTTACTTAAGTGTGAGCAAAGGTGTGTTAAAAGGGGGTAATGTAGTACTTAGGTGTAAACAAAGGTGTGTTAAAAGGGGGTAAGGCATTACTTAGGTGTAATCAAAGGTGTGTTAAAAGGGGGTAAGGTATTACTTAGGTGTAAACAAAGCTGTGCTAAAAGGGGGTAAGGTATTACTTAGGTGTAATCAAAGGTGTGTTAAAAGGGGGTAAGGTGTTACTTAGGTGTAAACAAAGGTGTGTTAAAAGGGGGTAAGGTGTTACTTAGGTGTAAGCAAAGGTGTGTTAAAAGGGGGTAAGGTGTTATTTAGGTTTAAGCAAAGGTGTGTTAAAAGGGGGTAAGGTGTTACTTAGATGTTATGTTATCACAATCAATGTCACTGCACGTTGGGCATTCCCATGTGAACTGATGCCTCATATGCAGCAGCCACTCCAAAGTACTTCTACTAATTGTTCCCATGAAAAGCTGGTTATATTGTCTCCTATCTCAGCCTTGAAGATGGCATAGACCTGCTTCACCATGCTTTACTTCCATATCACACAGTCGTGTTAGTGTCAGGGATTCCTCATTATCCACTATCCCAGTCCGTACAGCGTTGACAATATCTGCTCTGTCCATGCTTTTTCCCCACAGTTCTGACTGCAGTGCTTGCCACTTGGTCCGCATGACCCGGTGTGTAGATCCAGGTGAGGGAGGTTAAGTGCATTTGTTTTTTAATGCTCTCTACCCATTCAGAGATCATACAGCATGTTGCTATCTTTTGAAGCATATTCATGGAGTCTGGTACAATTACTGTCTGTGTGTCCCCATCCAATGTAAAGTGGTGAATTCAATTCAATGCTTTGCTCTAATATTAAATGTAATGTGGCTATCTGGTCTGGTCAGTACAGGATCTGTTTGGCCAAAAACCTGCTTGTTCATTTCTTAACTTGTTATCAGTAGCATCTTTTAGTCTTTTCAAAATAATCCTGCTTAATAATTTTCCAGGAACTGACAGAAATGTAATCCCTCTATAGTTTTCAAATTTCCTCTTCAGATGGTATCTCATAGTTGATATCCAGTTCCATTTCTAAAGGCTGGATATCTGGAGGAACCTTTCGGTCTGGTCTGTTTAGTAGAATTTCAAAATATTCATTCCATTTGTCCATTTGATCTTCAGTGTTGGGAGAACCTTTCCTTGACTGTTTTTGATTGATCCAGTTTGCTGACTGCATTTACCTACTAATTTCCTGGTGTTACTTTACAGGTCTCTGATGTTTCCTTTTGCTGCTATTGTCTCCACTTCTTGTTCTAGATCATCTAAATATTTCCTCTGCCCTTATTCACCTCCTGACTTTCTTATTAGCTTCTGTGTATTTTTCCTGAGCTCTAGCTTAAGCAGCTCTAGTTTTGCTATTGTTTAAGTCTGCCTTTTTTACTTTTCCTTTCTTCAGTCATTTTAAGGGTTTGTGGTGTTACCCACGCTTTATGTTTCCGTTCTTTACACCAGGACTGCTGTATCTGGGCCTTTCGACCCAACGCATGGCATTTAAGAAAATCCTTAATTATCCACGTTTAATGATATTCTTGTTTTAGAGGCAGTAGTTCTTTTCTCCCCAAAATTGGATTTTGGGGCTAACATAGGAATATTGTTTCAGTAGTACACTGGTTGTAAATACTTTGGATGCATCCCTTCTTAATTCATATTTACTAGAACCACTATTAGAGATAAGTTATATACTTATCATTATCATCATCTAAATACAAACAAATAAAAAGAAGGAAAGACCCTTGTCACACTAGTGACGTAAAAAAATGATGCTCAACATATTATTTACTAACCAGTCGACACATCTGTGGTGTGACGACACATCCATGGTGTGATGACACATCTATGGTGTGCCGACACGTCTGGTGTGACGACACATTTGTGGTGTGCTGACATGTCTGTGGTGTGACGACACATCTGCGGTGTGATAACACATCTGTGGTGTGATGACACATCTGTGGTGTGACGACACATCTGTGGTTTGATCAACATCCTGGCAACCACCTTTACTTTCCATGACCTTAAGCTCATATTCACTTTAGGCTAGGCCAGCGTGGGAGCCATGGTAGTGGTTTTTTTTTTTTTAATCTGATTTTGCGTGGCTTCAGACTCAACAGGGCCAGAAGGTGAGCCTCTAATCACTACACTACCACGGCTTCCATTATCATGTGCCATGCCAGATTACATGGATAGTCAATCATTTAGTCAACGTTGACCATCTCACAAGATTCTGAGCTCAAATCAAGCATGTGTTCTTGTTTGCTTTTCGTCATTGCTTTCAGAAATCACGAATTTGCCTCTTTGTCTCCTTCTGGACCTTTTCATAAACATTTTCTTAGAAAATTTGCAGGAATTATTGGCAGCTGCTGGAAAACTATTTACGAAAATAGCATTTAGACTATTTTAAAGCCATTTGATTGTCACAGGATGAGTCTCACCCAATATGATTTTAGGCTTAGGCGAAGGAAATCCAGTTCATTCTTCCTTTTGTTCATATTTATTGATTACTCTGCTTCAAATTGTCCACCCCGTGTGGGTACTATTTTGGTGGAATAAAGTATTATCACTCACAGCCCCCTAACAATCATGTAATAAGAGTTGACTTATTAGGGATTTTTTCGTCCGAGTCAGAGTTTGTCAACCTGAGAGGGACCAACAGTCTGCCTTAAAGGTAAGTCCAGAAGTGGGCAAACATCGAGAACTTTTTGTGCGGAGTTTACAGGCAATGAAGTCGGCTCTGTGGCTAAGTCGATAAGAACGCTTCGCTTCGTAATGCCGGGATGCCAGGTTCGATCCCAGCTGCGGGCAATGCGCCTTGCGTTGGTTTCGACAGTGGTATCAAGAAAGCCGACCGTCCAGAAAGCAGTGGCAAACTACTGGATGTAAAATTGCCTAGAGAAACCACACAACAGCCGGGGGCTGTTAGGGTTGGTTCTGCAACATCCTGTAAAGGATACGCAACTAACTTAACTTACAGGCAATGGACAAGGAGAAGAGATTTGTGAAGGAACAAATGTTTATAAGTATATGTAAATAAAATATTTTCAAAATTTTTTATTATAATAACCGTTGTAAAATGGTTGGTTTATTTAAGGATTGGGGGGGGGGGGGTTATTTCCATCGTTCTTGGCCCATTTTAAAAAATGGTTTCCAGGGCCCGAAGGGTTAAAGTAACATTTACTTGGTACTGAACAAATTAATGGCTTTGCCAAAAGTGGATGGAACTGACCAACGTCTTTTTCAAGGTGTGGGAAGCCAGAAGTAACAAGTAAAGAACCCTGTTCGTGTCAGTGGCACATCACACATACATTGCTAGACCTTTATTTTGTAAACTACACTATAAACGTGTGTGCAGGTGGGACATGAATGATACAGGCATGAGGTGGATGAGAGCTGAGCGTCTGAGACACACTAAATACAAATAAAGGCAACAATTGCCCTGAAGTTCTATGCTCCATAATTGTTGAAGACTTTTCTCTTCACGCGGTCGAGTCTTGCTTGTCACACTTGCCTTCGGATAAGTCTCATGCGGTCAACATCATGCTGACCACATTCATTATCCAGGACATTTCCTTTTGTACATTTTAGACTGGGTCAGCCTGAGAACCGAGGTATATTTTATAGCCAAAAATGCAGCTTCAGTGTGGATTCTTTTTGGGCTTCTTCTTCGATTTCACTGGCTGTAAATTCTGGCAGAAAGTTCTGGTTGTTCTTCCACTTCTAGACCTTAATCTTTGTTCCAGAACTTGAGTTTTGCACTCTGAAGGCTTGTTCTTCTCTTCCACCTTGTACCTCATCGAAGTGTCGGGGGCAGATGTAACATCCGTTGATGAGCTCTGTCAAGAGCACTATTAAGACTGATGTTCATTTCTGTAAAGCTGTTTTTAATGCCCTCCCTCTGTGTTTTCCAAGGTCTTCCACTCGCTCTATACCCGTTGTAACGTTTTAATGTGCAGTATCTAGGCCTTTCTTTGGAAGACAATCCCTATATAGTCAACTCTTTCGGCATGCTTGTTGGAGGGAAAGGGGCATCTGTTCTTTTTCTTAAAAATGGGGCCCCGGAACCCACATGGGCACAATGTGGATTTGAACCCTAGACTTTTTTATGGCCAGAAAGTGACATGGGAAGAAGAAGAGCCTTTACAGAGTTTTGCTTTCCCTTATTGTTAGATGAAGGAGCAAGACAAGTTGGTGATAGATCTTCACGAGATTCCGTCCAGCATGATGGAGATACTGCTAGACTTTGTGTACACAGAAACGGTTGAAGTTAGCGTAGAAAATGTGCAGGAGTTGTTGCCAGCGGCTTGTTTGCTGCAGTTAACAGGTAGGTTGTACCTGTCGTTGCCTGGTTGGAAAGTAGCAGATTTATGGCTTTTTTTTTTTTATTATTTATTTTAATTGCTCTTTAATAAAAAAAATTTTTTTTTTTTTTTTTTTTACCTTAGTGCTTCATCAGCATCATCATCATGAGCCATCATTGTCAGATTAATTGACAATTGAGGTGTGGTGTCATATTTGATTCCCAACAAATTTCGTAGAACTTATTAAAATTCCTCACAGGGCTATACTGCCTGGGATATTCAGGAGTATAGGGGAATGAAAGAGGAGATTTTCTAGCTACAAAATTGATCGCTACAGGAACACTCGAACTGGACAAAGGAGACATTCTGTATACCATTTATGAACAAATGCTGGTAGAAGGCGCAAGGTTACATGAAATATGTGTGAACATGGAATAAGGTGTAGATCTGGCAAGGAGGGATGTATGAGAGAAAGTGTGCGACTAATAACAGCTAGTATCGACATATTGAGACATTTGCTGTGGGAGACAAAGCATCTGTAATAATGGTTCTCAACCTTTCTAATGCCGCGACCCTTTATTACAGTTGCTTGTGTTGTGGCGACCCTTTATTACAGTTCCTTGTGTTGTGGTGACCCTTTATTACAGTTCCTTGTGTTGTGGTGACCCTTTATTACAGTTCCTTGTGTTGTGGTGACCCTTTATTACAGTTCCTTGTATTGTGGCGACCCTTTATTACAGTTCCTTGTGTTGTGGTGACCCTTTATTACAGTTCCTTGTATTGTGGCGACCCTTTATTACAGTTCCTTGTGTTGTGGCGACCCTTTATTACAGTTCCTTGTGTTGTGGCGACCCTTTATTACAGTTCCTTGTGTTGTGGTGACCCTTTTTTACAGTTCCTTGTGTTGTGGTGACCCTTTATTACAGTTCCTTGTGTTGTGGCGACCCTTTATTACAGTTCCTTGTGTTGTGGTGACCCTTTATTACAGTTCCTTGTATTGTGGCGACCCTTTATTACAGTTCCTTGTGTTGTGGTGACCCTTTATTACAGTTCCTTGTATTGTGGCGACCCTTTATTACAGTTCCTTGTGTTGTGGTGACCCTTTATTACAGTTCCTTGTATTGTGGCGACCCTTTATTACAGTTCCTTGTGTTGTGGCGACCCTTTATTACAGTTCCTTGTGTTGTGGCGACCCTTTATTACAGTTCCTTGTGTTGTGGTGACCCTTTATTACAGTTCCTTGTGTTGTGGTGACCCTTTTTTACAGTTCCTTGTGTTGTGGCGACCCTTTATTACAGTTCCTTGTGTTGTGGTAACCCTTTATTACAGTTCCTTGTGTTGGGGTGACCCTTTATTACAGTTCCTTGTGTTGTGGCGACCCTTTATTACAGTTCCTTGTGTTTTGGCGACCCTTTATTACAGTTCCTTGTGTTGTGGTGACCCTTTATTACAGTTCCTTGTGTTGTGGCGACCCTTTATTACAGTTCCTTGTGTTGTGGTGACCCTTTATTACATTTCCTTGTGTTTTGGCGACCCTTTATTACAGTTCCTTGTGTTGTGGCGACCCTTTATTACATTTCCTTGTGTTTTGGCGACCCTTTATTACAGTTCCTTGTGTTGTGGTGACCCTTTATTACAGTTCCTTGTGTTGTGGTGACCCTTTATTACAGTTCCTTGTGTTGTGGTGACCCTTTATTACAGTTCCTTGTTTTTTGGTGACCCTTTAATACAGTTCCTTGTGTTGTGGTGACCCTTTATTACAGTTCCTTGTGTTGTGGCGATCCCAGCCATACAATTATTTTTGTCACTACTTCGTAACTTCAATATATATTTGTTTTGCGATGGTCTTTGGTGACTCATGTGAAAGGGTCATTTGACCCCAAAATGGGTTGTGACCCATAGGTTGAGAACCGCTGATCTATAGGTGTGCCTGGTGTGCAGTGATGTTGATTCTCAAATCAGTAAATTGTGTTGATTTGGTAGCCATTAAAAGAAATCCCCTCTCTTGAAGGAGATACAGACACCTGACCAATGTGCTAGAAGGCAAATGTGGTAGCCGCTGTGTTGTTGCCTTTGCTCCCTGTATCTTTGAGCTGAACTGCTAATGAAATATATAGAAATAATCTTGGAATACCATAGACAAAGAATTACAAAAAATATATATTAGCATCATAAAAGATCTGAACATCAAAGAAGGTGGCTAGTGACCAGTGTCTTGTCTCAGAAACTGAAATATTTTGGCTGTATCACGTGTCATGGCGGACTGGGAAAAGAAATTAGGAGGGCATGTGCCAGGAAAGAGATGCAGGGCTGACCACACGAAGATGGGCACAAGATATAGGTAACACCCTGGGTAGGTAAGTGCGTGAGACAGGAGAGCTGGAGAGAGTTTCTTTCAGGCTGACTGTGATGAGAGCAGCATTCTACAAAGGACCTGATACATGATTATGATGATGACAATCTTCTGTCGAGACCGGGACAGGTTTGTCTGACAGGACAGCCTTAGGGTTAAACCGGTCTCATAAAATGGATAGTTGTATTCTATGAAAGCAGTCTGCCTCGTGCATTTTTTTTCTTCTTCTGCATTTGCCATTAAAAGGGTAATCGACATATTGTGTTGGGGTTTGCAGCTAATCTGTGATATTTATGTCTTTTGACCCACCACATAAAATTTGATTAAACCCTAATTAGTCATCTTTTACAGCGGGGAAGGGGGGGAGGGGTATTATTGTCCAAAAATTGGTACTTGAAATCCCCACTGGGACTTTTCCTCCCAGAATGGGAGCTGGGCAACCCATACATGGATGTATTTTCTTTAAATATATTTCCTATAAATCCAAATCTAAACATGACCCTCAAACAAAGGTGTTTCCTGCTTGCTCAGCTCATCAAATATGTGATATGGGTCTCCATTCTTAATAGACAGTTCAAATTCGAGTCTTCCCTCTTTATTCCATCATAGACAGTGACGCGGAAATCATCTTACATAGATGGTCTATTCAAAGCTATCTTGAATAACAATTTCGTATGTTGTTATGTGTCTTTAAACATTAACATAACATCCGCATGAGTTCAACTTTGTTCATCATTTCTCCTGGCTGCCCCTACAAATTTACATGAACATACCTCTCTCAGTTCTAAGTGACGGCTTGGTTAAGAATGTTCTCCTAAAAAACTGGGTGTTTGCAGGAGTGAAGAATGCCTGCTGCCGGTTCCTCGAACGACAGCTGGATGCCAGTAACTGCCTGGGTATAAAAGTGTTTGCCGAAAGTCACAGCTGTCATTCCCTGCTGCATGCTGCAGAAAGGTTCTCTTTAAGGCACTTCAATACCGTTATAGAGAATGAAGAATTCAAAACCATGCACTTTGAAGAAGTGGAATCCTTAGTATCAAGCGAAGACTTGCAGGTGTGTGAATTGATTTTTGTTTGTTAATTTTCATTACAAAATCTATGACATTACTGAAGTAGACTTTCAGTTTTTTTTTTTTTTAAGAAAGAAAAGCTGCTAATTCCAGCATTTACCATATGATGTCAAGGTAAAACTCAAGTAAAGGGTCCTATTTTTAGTCTTTTGGCGTATTGGGCGAAAATGGTACTAGGTGAGTGATGTGGTCAGCATTACTCTGGCCACCTTTACTTCCCAGGATTGCACCTGGTACCCACTCAAGGCTGGGTCAACCTGGGAGTCGAGATCATTTTTGAAAAAAAAAAAAAAGTCTGGCTCCATCAGGGCGTGAACCCACAACCTTACAATCCGCAGGCCAGCATCTAGCCGCCAACACTGCGGCAACTCCCCATAATGTCAAGGTGGCATTTGTTTTGTTTTTTTTACTTGTCAGCATTGCCGGGGTCAAATCCTGTCCCTGGGCGAACATTCTGATCTCTTCGGCGCCCACTCCTTTTGTTTACTGGTGTGTAGTTATGATATATGTTAACCCTCTGACCCGAGAAGCACATGACTCAGCACCTGCAGTTTGTGCCACGGCTCTGTAAATGACTCTTTCCTGAGTTTACGGGGAAACCCTGCTAAAGCATCGTTTCCATTTCTTTTTTAACAAGCATAGTTGCTAAAGAAAAAAAAGCGTTTATGTGGGGATTCCTTGGGGAAATGTCTTCATAGAAGTTAGGACTTCAGAATTTTACAGTTAGTTACACTGGCAACTGACATCCAGGTCATGGGGGCTAACCAAGAAAGGATCATGCTGAATGTTTTTTAAAGCTCAGAGAGATGTAGCGTCGTCAGTTTTCTGCTTTATTCATGTTTATTGATTCTCCCGTAAGTTTTTAGCATTTAAATAATGTGCGGCCTGTATGTAAGGCCATTTTTTAAAGCCATTTTTTTTTTGGGGGGGGGGGGGGGAGGGGAGAAACTACTAGCCTCACATCCTGGAACGTGGGCTTGTAGTTGAACTTAGACAGCTATTAACTCTTTGAGTCCCAAGAAACGCATCATACGTTCATAGGTCCCCTCCTAGAGGCCCAATAAATGCAAGATGCACCAATTTCACATCTCTTTTGACTACCCCTTGGGCCTCTGATGCTAAACCCCATGGGACTCAAAGAGTTAAACAATGAAGAACATTATTCTTTAGTTATGTAAAAAGAGTGGCCAAAAAGTGACACCCCTCCCAAAAGATAAGTAAAGGACGGACCTTTTTCTATGGCAGTGGTGCATCGAGCATGTGATACTAGACCTCTGTTTATTTACCAATCGGCACTCGGTAGGTGTTGTGATCAGCATCAGATTAGCTGCCTTTACTTCCCATGACATTGCCTGATGCCCATTTTATGCCAGGTCGACTTGGGAGCCAATGTCAGATTTGGCACACACAAAATTCTCTGCATCAGTAAATTGATTGCATACAGATCCAGACCCAAAATCTTTGGATTGGCAGGCGAGCATCTAACTACTAGGCTACAGTGGCTTTCCAAAGGAAGGTAACAGTAAGTTAAATGACTCGTGCTCAAGGAGAGGTAAATTATTGAAATGGGCCATCGGATAAATTAAAATAGCAGAGTGGATTCATTGAATGTTAAATTAAGAATTGACATTGCAGCACTTGGGACACTCCCATAAGTGCTCCGTCCCTTCAGCATCAAGCGAAGGGTTCCCAGTTCTGATGGCACCAGTAACTGTCTGATTGTACATCCGTCTCGCCCTTCTACTGAGTGCTGAGTGTCTGCCAGATCCCCTGCTGACTCCTCACAAGCCCATTCACCTCACACCGTAATAATCTATCTGCGCCTTCACTGTTTACCCGCTCCAAAGGGACCCTCACAATGTCTAGTTTGTCATACATCAGTTCACCACCTATTTGTGCAGAGCTGGCCACTCTATCTGCCTGCTCATTTCTCAACACACCAGCATGACGTGGAAAAAATATCCAAAGGATGATAACTACACAGGAACTCTAAAGTGATGCTTGCCACTCTGCACGCAGCCTGCCTGTCTCCACCTTTATCAGCATTCTCTGTGAGTCAGTTACAATCACGGCTTGTGTGTACAGCTGTTTCTCAAGTCAGCGGAAGGAAGCAGTGACTGTCTCCAACTCCATTCTCAAGGCTTTGCTACACTAAGTGACGTCCATTCACTTTTGCTATAAACCTTCATGCACTTTGTTTGCCTCTCAACACAGAGCCATCTGTATAGATAATCACGTCACTTGGGTGGGAATTGTAAAGTGGATTCGTGAGACCACTGAGCACGTACTTATGCAGAGCGGGAAGAGGCGAGCAGAGGAACGTTACTTTGTGTATTCTTGTATTTTAAGAATTGTCAGCACAGTCTATACATCCAGGGAACACTGTAAAAACTGGAAAGATCAGCGGTAAAAGAGGCAGAGAGTAAAGAATGATGGTCTATGACACTGGTCTCCAACCTTTCTCAGGTCGCACCCCCCTTGAATACATGGCAGGACCCTCCCCCGCCCCCCTTTTTCCACTCTCTTGAGTAAATGGCAAGACCTCCATACCCCCTTAGAGTATATTGCAAGACCTCCATACCCCCTTAGAGTATATTGCAAGACCCCTGTGCCCCCCTTGAGTATATTGCAAGACCCCTGTGCCCCCCCTTGAGTATATTGCAAGACCCCTGTGCCCCCTTGAGTATATTGCAAGACCCCTTTGCCCCCCTTGAGTATATTGCAAGACCCCTTTGCCCCCCTTGAGTATATTGCAAGACCCCTTTGCCCCCCCTTGAGTATATTGCAAGACCCCTTTGCCCCCCTTGAGTATACTGCAAGACCCCTGTGCCCCCCTTGAGTATATTGCAAGACCCCTTTGCCCCCTTGAGTATACTGCAAGACCCCTTTGCCCCCCTTGAGTATATTGCAAGACCCCTGTACCCCCCCTTGAGTATACTGCAAGACCCCTGTGCCCCCCTTGAGTATATTGCAAGACCCCTTTGCCCCCCTTGAGTATATTGCAAGACCCCTGTGCCCTCTTGAGTATATTGCAAGACCCCTGTGCCCCCCTTGAGTATATTGCAAGACCCCTGTGCCCCCCCTTGAGTATACTGCAAGACCCCTGTGCCCCCCTTGAGTATATTGCAAGACCCCTTTGCCCCCCTTGAGTATATTGCAAGACCCCTGTGCTCCCCCTTGAGTATATTGCAAGACCCCTTTGCCCCCCTTGAGTATATTTCAAGACCCCTGTGCCCCCCTTGAGTATACTGCAAGACCCCTGTGCCCCCCTTGAGTAAACTGCAAGACCCCTTTGCCCCCCTTGAGTATATTGCAAGACCCCCTGTGCTCCCCCTTGAGTATATTGCAAGACCCCTGTGCCCCCCTTGAGTATATTGCAAGACCCCTGTGTGCCCCCCTTGAGTATATTGCAAGACCCCTTTGCCCCCTTGAGTAAACTGCAAGACCCCTTTGCCCCCCTTGAGTATATTGCAAGACCCCTGTGCCCCCCTTGAGTATACTGCAAGACCCCTGTGCCCCCCTTGAGTATATTGCAAGACCCCTTTGCCCACCTTGAGTATATTGCAAGACCCCTTTGCCCCCCTTGAGTATATTGCAAGACCCTTTTGCCCCCCTTGAGTATATTGCAAGACCCCTTTGCCCACCTTGAGTATACTGCAAGACCCCTGTGCCCCCCTTGAGTATACTGCAAGACCCCTGTGCCCCCCTTGAGTATATTGCAAGACCCCTGTGCCCCCCCCCCCCTTGAGTATATTGCAAGACCCCTGTGCCCCCCCCCCCTTGAGTAAACTGCAAGACCCCTGTGCCCCTCTTGAGTATACTGCAAGACCCCTGTGCCCCCTTGAGTATATTGCAAGACCCCTTTGCCCCCCTTGAGTATATTGCAAGACTCCTTTGCCCCCCTTGAGTATATTGCAAGACCCCTTTGCCCCCCTTGAGTATATTGCAAGACCCCTTTTGCCCCCCTTGAGTATACTGCAAGACCCCTTTGCCCCCCTTGAGTATATTGCAAGACCCCTTTGCCCACCTTGAGTATACTGCAAGACCCCTGTGCCCCCCTTGAGTATATTGCAAGACCCCTGTGCCCCCCCCCCCCCTTGAGTATATTGCAAGACCCCTGTGCCCCCCCCCCCCCCCTGAGTATATTGCAAGACGTGACCAAAGAATGTAGATTGTCTCCTTGTGATGTGTATAACAATTTATCTTCAGTAGTCGATTTTCTTAAAGACAGCTTTGTTACTCTTTTTCATCTGTCCAGGGTGTTCTCATCATTTGTCTGTAGAACCATATCTCTGCAGCTTCCACATAATTTTTCACTAATGATCTGGCTGTCCATCATTTACTTCTGTATATCAGGATTGGCACTGTGTAGCTCTTAAGAACACTTTTCCTCACCTCAGTTGACCAAAAAGATTGCACAGAATATTCTTTATTTTGTGGAAATTTGCTACATTTAAATTATGTAATACATCTTCCATCTGCTGTTGTCGCTGTCCACAGGCCGAATTAGAGATAATTGGCCACTATAACAGTCATGGGAGACACACAAAACCAGAGAACAAGACCTTCAGAATTACCCAGGGTTGACTGGGGAAAATTGCTGCTTCGGAGAACTGAGCACGCATGGGTATGCCCAATGTGCAGTGACATCAATTGTGATAACAAAAGATAAAATAACATCTTGTAGGGAGTCGGCAGTCCGAAACCCAAGTTCAAGGTGTCTCCTTCGTGCCAAAGAACTGTATGGCTGTTGGGTGAACAGTCGTTAACGATGTCAGGCAGGTCGTTGTAGGGGTGACGCCTGCTGGTGGATGTAATGTCCTAAGTCCCTTCCCCATCTAATAATGAGGGTACTGCTGGGGTGACCGTTTATTAACCCTCATATAATGCTTCCAGTCGTGACACTGTGAGCTGCGTTTGTTTTTCGTTGGCACAGGAGCAGAGCAACTGTGGGGTGACCCGTTTGCTATGAAGCTGAAACTAGGATTACCAGATTACCTTAACTGATAGAATAGTGGAGTGGAACAAAACCGAAAGGAAAATTGCTGATCCTGTGTGCTCTCTCTTTCTCTGGTAAAGCTCTACACCCTAGGATAGAATATAATAGACTAAATAAGAAAGTAATATACTTGTGACTCTGTTTTTCCTGATTTCCCTTATTGAACAGCTATTGTGCCACAGCCGGACTTGAAGAATTCAGGATTTTCCAAATTTGCTTTCACAGGTGAAGAGTGAGGAGACTGTCTATCAAGGTGTGGTTACATGGGTTAAACATAATGAGCCAGCTCGGCTCAAGTACTTGCCCCAGCTTCTCAGTCATGTCAGATTACCTTTGCTGTCTGTGAATTATATTACAGATGTTCTTGACAGTGAGGTAAGCAGTAGACATCACTGTGTGTTCTTGTCAGAGAAGTAGACATTACTGTGTGTGTTCTTGACAGAGAAGTAGACATTACTGTGTGTGTTCTTGACAGAGAAGTAGACATTAATGTGTGTTCTTGACAGAGAAGTAGACATTACTATGTCTGTTCTTGACAGAGAAGTAGACATTACTGTGTGTGTTCTTGACAGAGAAGTAGACATTACTGTGTGTTCTTGACAGAGAAGTAGACATTAATGTGTGTTCTTGACAGAGAAGTAGACATTAATGTGTGTTCTTGACAGAGAAGTAGACATTACTATGTCTGTTCTTGACAGAGAAGTAGACATTACTGTGTCTGTTCTTGACAGAGAAGTAGACATTACTGTGTCTGTTCTTGACAGAGAAGTAGACATTACTGTGTCTGTTCTTGGCAGAGAAGTAGACATTACTGTGTCTGTTCTTGACAGAGAAGTAGACATTACTGTGTCTGTTCTTGACAGAGAAGTAGACATTACTGTGTTCTTGACAGAGAAGTAGACATTACTGTGTCTGTTCTTGTCAGAGAAGTAGACATTACTGTGTCTGTTCTTGACAGAGAAGTAGACATTACTGTGTTCTTGACAGAGAAGTAGACATTAATGTGTGTTCTTGACAGAGAAGTAGACATTAATGTGTGTTCTTGACAGAGAAGTAGACATTACTATGTCTGTTCTTGACAGAGAAGTAGACATTACTGTGTCTGTTCTTGACAAAGAAGTAGACATTACTGTGTTCTTGACAGAGAAGTAGACATTACTGTGTCTGTTCTTGTCAGAGAAGTAGACATTACTGTGTCTGTTCTTGACAGAGAAGTAGACATTACTGTGTTCTTGACAGAGAAGTAGACATTACTGTGTCTGTTCTTGTCAGAGAAGTAGACATTACTGCCTCTGTGTTGTTGAAATGAGGTGGACATTGCTTGTTGTGGACATTATTCTCCAGTTTGTTGAGAGTGAGATGGATATTATTGTGTCTGTTTGTTGTTGGCCATGAGGTAGGCATTATTATGTCATTATTATTGTTTATTATCTTTTTGGGCACTCTGTCTTTGGGTAGTGACCCCACTACAACTGCATTATAGCTTTGGTGTTGTTTGTCACTGTTTAGTATCTAGATGGGCCAAGCATGATTATATCTACACACATACCCACATAGTATTTTAGGGATTTAGTTTGGGGGGGGGGGGTGAAAAAAATGCCCTTTTTGGTCATTATGACATCATTGTTACTTTGTTTTGTCCCATGTGGCTGTGTCAACAACAGAAAATTTGGCCACAGAGAATGACTGCAGTTAATTTAACTCTGTGAGTCCCAAGGAACACATGATACATTCAAAGGTTACTGCCTAGAAGCCCAATGAACGCATGATGCGCTGATTTTACATCTCTCTTGACTACCCCTTGGGCCTCTGATGCTAAACTGTGCTGCTAAACCCTCTGGGACTCAAAGAGTTGATGTTCCTTTTGTGTTTATTACTTCCCTTCCTGTAATGCTTAACCAGTTTGGTTTCTTTAAACTGTCTTGAACAGTATTTAAAAACAATTACTTCAGTGACTTAAATGTCAGAGTGGCCAGCACACTTGCTGTCTGCTTGTGAGTCGTCGGTTTTAAACCTCTAGATTTTTAATTTAAAAGTAACTAAGGCTGCTAATTTTCTCTGCTGCTTTTTCTCTTCCTCTAGTTTCTTAGGATAGACTTGACTTGATATTTGATCCCACCAGGACATCACACAGAGCGATAAACACCTGGTGACACAAAGTGCCACCGGGAGGATCACCCATGGAGAAGTCCCAGAAACCCAGTTCAGCCCATAGATTGAGTTATAATTAGGGTCCCTGGCAATAGCCAGAGTGGAGCTTCAAAATAACAACAAAATTGCGTGCATCCCACATGGGGACACTGCTTTTAAACGTTAATCAGAGAATTATAAGGATGTGTGTCTTTCATAAAGCACTTTGTGAAAGGGTTTGTAAAACAAAATTAGGCTGAAAGGGTAGTGATTTCTTTCAAATATACACATTTTGAGTCTGTTTCTTTCTTCTTTTTTTTTTTTTTTTTTTTGACTTCGTCTTTTACCACTTTGGGTGTTAAGGGAGATGTAAGGTTCTGCTTCTGGCTGCCATGCCATCAATATTATTTGTTTATCTTGTTCTTGTGCTCTATGTCCTTCTTGTTTTTTTGGGGGAATGCCTTGGATAATATGGCAGCACAATGTATTCTCTCTATGTGGGCAAACCAATTGAGTTGCTTTCTTTGTATGCGATTTAGAATTGGTTCTGTGTCGACCTTTTCAGCTATAACCTCATTCCTGATTTTATCTTTTCTTAATACTCTTGCAGATATTTCATTTTTTTTTAGTTACTAATTTTCTTTTATGGTTTGTTGTAAGTGAGTCTGACACTGGTAGCATAGGGTTGGAATTGTTAGGCTTAGTATGAGCTGTTTCTTTGTGCTGATTGGGATTGTCTTATGATGTGAGGGGGGGGGGGGCAGGGAGGGGTGCTAGCTGTCCCAATACTTATTTAGTTTTATAGCATCTGGTGTTAATTTTGTCCTTCAATTAACTATCTTCAGTGAATGTTGTTTCCAGAAATGTAAACGCAAATGCCATTTAATGCCTTTGCACTCTACTGCTGTGTTTATATTCTGCTTTTTTTTTCTTCCTATTGACATTACTTGTGTCTTTTCAGTGTTGATTCTCATTTTGTTTGTTTTACATTATTCATTCACAGATGTTAGATGCTGTTGCAGTTTGTTTTTTAAAATAATGTATTTGCATTTTGAAGAAACCTTGCCAAGTTTACCCATGGCTCTTTTTTATTTGAAAAAAAATTTTTAATTTTTTAAGGTGCTAATCAGGACAAGTCATGCGTGTAGAGACCTTGTCGATGAGGCCAAGCGGTACCACTTGCGACCAGATCTGAGGGACAAGATGAGTGGTCCAAAGACAACACCTAGAGCTGGTAACTACTTTGCTTAGTTCTGTTTTTATTTTGTCTTCCTGCTTGTAATCCTTCAACTTCTTCTTCATCACCCCTGCAAGAGCAGTTGGCACTTGTGTTGCGGCCCCTTAAGCCCACACAGGAAGTTGTAGTCCAAGTAATCAGTGAAAATCTGTAGCAGGGGGTTAGTCCATTTGCCGTCTGCTAGGAAGATTGTGAGTTAATGTTTGGATTCTGCTAATTGGTGCACAATAACGGATTGCTCTTATTTTTCTGTGGGTTATTTTTTTTCATTTCCTGTAGATTTCTGGACATCTTTGTCTTCTTTTAGGGAAAAAATAATAGACCCACTGATGTTAATAAACATGTAAAGGATGACTAATTTTATCTTTAATAGGACAGCATTTGCTAGACTCTAGGCACATTTTTTTAAGGAATATGCCTTCAGAATTATTTACCACACATTCAGTAGATATTTACTATAACTAGCTGAGGCTGTATCAACAAAACTGAACTGTCCTGTTTTATGTAAAAAAAATATTCACATTATAAATTTGAAGTTTCCATGGTATTCACATGACTGACTTTGAATTTCCAGTCGTGAGGTGTACAGCTTTCCTTTTTTTTTTAATTTGTTTAAATATAATTTTCAAATATATTTCAGTGATAAAAATTCATCTGTATGCTTTATTGTATAGTTTTTTAAAACTCTGTAGTAATGTGCCCAACAGGATACAGTAAAATATGCCAGACAATAAGTTGTGCAGTGTATTGTTTGTTTCCGCATTATTTAAATTTAGAGTGTCATACTGAATATTTTGGACTAAAAATATAGCTGTAAACTACAAAGCAGTGTTCCAACCGCCTTTTTTATTTTTTAAAATGCTGATTGCGGAAGAAATAACTGTTTAGAGGAGTTCCTGGTTTGTGCAGTATTCTCAGCAGATATGAAGAGTGAGACTGAGTCGGGCGAGATTAAAACTGGTGCAGTGAGACCAACCCTCTTGCATCTGATCATTTTTTTACTACATGTAGCCAGATTTTTGCTAGCACAAAGGTGTTAAATCTGCAGAAAACTAAAAAGCCATGCTGTTGGAAACTCCTCTCTTTCAAAATTATGACAGATGAGTCAACAAGTGTCCTTGAGACTTTTTAATTTGAGATGTTAACAAAATTACACAAAGAGCAAATCAAATGGTTTTGTACAGAAAATGCCTTGCAACACTACAATAGGTTCTGTTTGACTTTCGTTCTGTAAGACTTTGAGGTCTTTTTCCACAACCTGAAGTTTTTCATGCACATCCATTTTACAGATCTGGCTTACTTGTATGCAAACTGTTGTTTCCTCACATCTCATGAAGTCCTTCTTTGAAGGAATCACCCCTAGTTAGTCACCTTTTGCTGCATGCTTGTTCCAGGCAGGTCCTAAAAGATGACTAATTAGGAGTGTTTCTTTCTAGAGATGGGAGGAATCAATAGCCTTTGTACAAATGAGCCAGCTCTGTAAATGGATATGTATGTAAAGCTCTGATTCTAGAACAAGTCTAGAAGTGGACAAACTGTCAGAACTTTTCACTGGAGTTTACAGCCCGTGAACATTGAGAAGAAGAAGCAACTATGATACAGGTTTTGATGGATGATGAGAAGCAATGGCATGTAACTGTATACTTCATGTCATAGAAGAATGTAGCTACAAAATGTAACCAATGATGAGCCAGTCTGAGAGACTCCACATTATTATTTTGAGGATCTGTACTCCATTGGTTGACCAAATAAAAACCGGAAAAGAAGCAGTAGGAGTTGTGTCCCTGAAGTCGTTGCACTAATTAATCATCACATTTGTGAGTATTTATGGTATTTTATATTTAATAATCATTCTGTCTTCTGTTAATTCCAGGAACTGACAGTATCCTGGTTGTGCTGGGAGGTTTTGGTGCTCATCAGAATCTCGTGGACACAGTAGAAAGCTTCTGTTCTAAAACAGACTCTTGGACCAAACTGCCAGTAAGTGACAAATGTGCCCCAAAAAAAGTTTTTTTTTTTTTTCCAGTTTAAAGATCCATTAGTGTATGGGTTTTGGATTAGAAACAAATTTTTTTGATGTTGAGATTTGTCAGATCGGTGGCTATAGCTCTGAAAGGAATAATGTTGCGATACAGGCATTGTGCCGACAGTTCACAAAAATCTATCCCTTGCTACTTGCTTCACACTTCTTTTTATTCACTGGCAGACTTGTCTTATTTACTGGTTGTGTGAATCCACCCCACTTCCATTCAACCTTCCATTTATGAAAAAAAAATTAAGAAAATCTACCACATTCAACATACTGTGAGCAGTTTTTGCTATAATTATGGTCTGGTTTCTTTGTGCCAAGTATGTTGACTAATAATTGTTAATTGCACCAAAACAAGAAACCAGTGGATTAGACCGGTACTCTAGTACCGGGTGAGGGTGAGAGTTGTTAGGATTTTTTTTTAAAGCAGATTAAAGTGGGGGGGGGGGGGGGGAGACTGGTATGCACGATATTGAAAAATGAAGTTAAATTCCATTGATTCTCAGTGCACCTACGCAGTGTTTAATAGGACAGATATGGATTTAGAAACCAAAAATAGTATTTAGTGGGGTTTCATTTTCACATTTTTCTGTAGGCCTCAGTGATAAAGGTCACAGGGTCACAGCAAGAGTCATTCAGTACTGCAATGTGCTCTGCTATGGGTATGTTTTGGTAAGCCACATTGCTTTCTGACGAACAGTAAGTTGTTACGACACAGCAGAGACGAATATTCAGTTACATGCTTTTATTAGCTGAATCACAACATATCGTAGGCACACATCCTCCCGTCCTCGTGTTCGTTTTGTTTGGCTGATTCTGGCGGCCTGGTCAAACTTCTCGCACACTACATCGATCCATCAGCGTCTTTCGAATCATCCATCTATCCTTCAACGAAACCTTGTACTCGGTATTAAGACATGTAGGAAACATTCATATCTCCTCTCGAAACATAACAAGTATTCACAATTCCTTCATTTTCCTCATGCGTCCATTCATACGACCTCTCGCAACCAGGTCCGAACTTCATCTGTCTTACTCCTGTCTCTCGGTTCCCGTCTTCCGTTCAAGTCTCACGCTTTTCTCGTATCCCTTATTTTGCTCACCATAGGATACTTGAGACACACTTATCTCGTTTTTCTATTGTATCACTGGTTCTCTGACCTTGTTCTCTCCATCAGGACCTCTCTGGGATTTCCCCGGGAATTCACAACATTACAAATACATATTGTTTTTTTCAGCCCTGGGGAATGTATTCAACCTGACACTGAAGGGCAGAACGGGACCAGAGAAGAAGAAGAAGGAATGTATTACATTTAAGGCTTCAGTCTGTTCTTGTTTATTGATCACCCCTTTTATATATCTTTATGTCATTCAGGAAAAATTATAAATGGAAATAGATAATTTTTTTTGTAATTATTAGTGACCTGTGGAAAATATCTTTTTAAGAATATTTTCAAGGAATTCCCTCGAGTTTATGACCCATTTTTTTTTTAAAGCATCTGTGGGCAAAGGGGTTATTTAATTTAACCTCCTGTTGCCTTTTCAATCACTAGAACTCCTGACGTAGGTGTTCCAAAATTGATATTTTTTGTATTGTAAATGATAAATCCTTTGCTTGTTTATGATGAAGACTTTACATTACCACACTTTCAACAGGCCTGTAAAACCATGTAATTGTTGCAGTTCTTGTCTTCATCTTACTGATCCTTTGGAATTAGTTCAGATCTTCAGTTTGCATGGCGTACACTGTTTTGTAGACACTATGTAGCACAGTCGATAGGATACTTGCTTTCAAATTCAGCTGTGACTCACTGCAGTCCACAGCCGGTGTTCAAAACTTTGCGGTTCCCGTGGTTCACCCAGCCTCTAGGAAATGGATACCAGAATTAACACTGGGGTAAATGGAGGAACGTCGCTGTAGCTACGACACAAGCGGACACTTTCTTATCAGCTGTCTGTACTGGTGGCAGAGCACTCTCCCGACTTTACCTTTTTTTACTGTGGGACTCTGTTGAACTTGACATCTAGGGGGTTTCATCTGTTAAAGACTAGGCTTTTCCTTGTTTTATTTAGGTAGTGTTGTAAAATAATATATCCCATTTAAAGTGCTTATGATGGTGTACACATGCAGTGTAAGTCTCTGTCCTGAGCTTTGTGAACCTATGGCCGGGTCTAGGAGTCCACTTTGAGTTTCTTATTCTTCTTCTTTTGCCTGCCTCCGAGGACGTAATTATGTTGTGCCTGTTTTAATCATGACTGCAGTATTTGCATATTTTGGCTGACACATCCAACGTCATCAAGCATTTGTTCTCCGGGTTGGTTTTCTTGGTTTAAAAAATCTGTACCAGAGAGGTTTTGATCTCTAGACATTCGAGTTTCCTGTTCATAAGATGGTAGACATAGTACGGTAGATTATGTAACTTTCTATATGTTTCTACCATATTTGTGGGGGGGGGGGGGGGGGTGAAGTTATGGAATATGACCGGAAGACCATGTTGTTTTTCCCGCATCTTCTTTTGCTTGACGATTCAGTACAAATAATTTCTCTGCAACACAGAACTTAACCAGAAAGAGACGGTATGTGTCGGCTGCCTCTGTGTCCAACAAACTGTATGTTGTTGGTGGGTATGATGGGCACTCTAGGCTTAGTCTGGTTGAGAAGTTAGATTTTACTGTGGAGAAACTTCAGTGGGAGACAGTGACATCCATGCATCAGCGGAGAGGCTTGGCCGGCATTTGTGTGTACAAAGGTAGGAGAAATATTTGTTTCAAAATAATGTTTTCCTGTTGTGAGTTAAAATTATGATAATATAAAAAATAAAATGCATGTGTCTGAGAGATAAGGAACCAACAATCTGCAATCAAATAAGCCAGGTTTGTAAAACGAATGTGCACTCAACACTCAGGTTGTTGAATAATGTCTAAAGTCCAGATATTGATAAACAACCAGAACTTTCCCCCAGGGTTTACAGCCAGTGAAAGCGAGAAAGACTAAGAAATAAGATTATTGCCTAGCATAGTTTGTGTTATTTCATTGAGGGCATACAACAGAATATTATGGAACACAGAAACATTAAATCGTTTCTTTTGACATGAAAATTAGTTTTCACCATAGCAAATTGTTTATTGGTTAGAAATAGTTTCAGTAAGAAAAGGAAGTTTCAAAAATGGCATGACTTTTGACCAGGTCAGGCACACTATGTGATGGCCGCAGAGTCGATTGAAACTTATTACTCCACTTATACTCTTCCTGGACTGACAGGCATGTGTCTTCGTACTGGACTTCATTTGCCGATGAATTTCTTTAGGTTTCAGCCCTTCATAGATCTGAAAATGGAGAACAGAACACTGCTGCTCTTTAGTGCATGTCATAAGTTCGGGCAGCCTTCTTTAAATTTTCATTATGACGTCACCCTGTTTGTCTACCCCATGTTGTCATGTGCTTAGCGATATTATTGTCAGGTTACAAGATGGTAGCTTTTATTGCATAATTTATTTCATTTTTTTTTAAGGTAATAATTTTTGTATCGTATGTATATTAGTTTAAGGTAAAAAATTTTGTATCGTATGTATATTAGTTTAAGGTAATAATTTGAAGCCTGCTCGTATTATATTACATATGACTGTCATTGTTTGTTCATTGTTTCTCATGTGAACCTTCCTGTCCTGTAATAAAGCTAAGTCAAGAGGATCCTCTTTATTTCACAAGATTATCAGGTATGACTAGATCTCTCTCTCTCTCTCTCTCTCTGCAGAATGGCTAGCTGCCTGCCGGGAGCATGGCACACAGCGGGAGCTACATAGCTCCAGCAGCCATCTCCAGGCATTGCATCATCCATAAAAAGTGCATTACTTGAAGTGAATTGCAAACAATGAAATGAACCCATGACTTTCAGAGCACGTGTAAACTGACTTGACTCATTGCCATGGAGACCCCCTGTGATGAAGCTACTTCACACATCTACTTTGACGCTTGCACGTTGCTACTAGCACTGCTTCTACTGTCTAGGATTAACAACACAAAACAACTCTCTGTTTCCTGTATACATTCTGTCAGTTTATTCTGACAATTATTCAGGCACAGTCAATTTTCTGTAAGCCTCAATGATAAAGGTCACAGGGTTACAGCAAGTCGTTCAATACACTGTTCGCTTCCACTGTATGACAACACTAGTCATTCACTCAACACTGGAACTACATCTTCCAGCACCACAACTGTCTTCTTTGACTTCTGGTATGCAGCTAACCAGGAGTCAACCTCAGGCTTTCCTTTGTTTACCTTTCCAGCCCCAAGTATCTCGTGCGGTCATTTGTCACACAGATTTTCTGCTTGACCGGCTGTGAGTAAGGAGACCATGCCAAGCAGGGTCATCCCAACCCTACTAATAGTTCCACTGTGGTTTTGATGTTAAATTATGTCATATCTCAGTATGGAAACAGATGTCTCCACTGGTGTAATCAGGTCACCTATAAATCTATGAGAACGTTTAAAATATTTGTAACCTATAAATCTTTGACCTTTTGCGTTGAGCTGAGTCAAGAATGGATATCACAGCTCTCGGGACATTCCCATAAGCAATCCATCCCCATCTTCAACAACTAGCGCAGACACAAATCTTCTTGACCTTAAAAATTAGGAAGCGCTTATAATTTCTTGTACAACTATTTACTTAAGAATCGTCTGTAACTTTATATTTTATTATTTTCTTCTAGACATATGGTTGCCAACCTTTTTCTGTTTCCAGAACTTGAGTTTGGCAGGCACATACATTTTACAGGTATGGCTTATTTGTGTGCAGACTGCTGGTTCCTTGCCTCTCAGGCAGGTGCACACTCACTTTTAAGGAAAAATTCCTAATTAGTCGTCTTCTGTGCAATGGACAATGCTTAGTGCTATGGCAATTGGCCGGGAAGGGGCGGGTTTAGTTGTTGCTAGTGATATGATATATTGCATTGGGGGTTATGATGGAACTCACCTGTTGTCTTCGGCCGAGTGCTATGACCCACAGATGGATCAGTGGAGCAATATACCTCCAATGGCCAAGGAGAGATCTGGTGAGTTGTGTGATTCTTCTTGTGGTTTCTCATGTTGTTGTTGTTCTTGATGGTTTTTTTATTGGAGTTGCTAAGAATGTTCATAAATTACTCTCTTCTAGCAAGACAACTATTACTGTCATGTTTAAGCAAAACAAATGCCCGGCTCTCTAGCTTAGTTGGTTAAACCTGACTATGTCTTTTCTTCTTCTTTTTCTTCTGCTTCTTCTTCTTCTTCTTCTTCACGTTCACCAGCAGTAAACTCCGGTGGAAAATTGTGGTTTTTCGTCCACTTTTGGACTAGAGTCCTGTTCCAGAACCTGTGTGTTGCATGCGCATCCATTTCACAGATCTGACTTATTTGTATGCAGTCTGTTGGTTGCTTGCCTCTCAGGCAGATGTACTCCAACTTTGAAGGAAGTTCCCAATTGCAGGCAGATGTACTCCAACTTTGAAGGAAGTTCCCAATTAGTCAACTCTTACGACAGTGCTTTTGGGTAGGCAGTGGGTCTATTCTTTTTTTCTTTTTTCTTCTTACAATTAGGTCCCAGAACCCACACAGGGAACTTGTCTGTTTGTGAGTTGAGATCTCTCTCAGAAATATTAAAAACATATCTGAACATTACAAACTCACCTGTGCATATGTGATGTGCACAGGCTAAATACAGTGCAGACCACTAAAGGCAGTTCAGATCTAGTAAATTTGTTTCTGCAAGAAGAATTTGTTTATCACTGGCAATATTTCTTGCTTGAATTCTTATCTGGATTTCTGATCTGGATTTGATTCTTTTCTGGACATTCATTTCACTGGCCAGACAGAAGCATGATGCTTATCAGGAATACATCAGATATGTATTTTGTGTACTCTTGTTTGTACCTGTGGGTAGTATTGATTTATGCAGTGTGTTGATGAGGACATGATCATCACAAGAACTGTTGGAATCATCGTCAAATTTATTGAGAAACAAAGAATGAAATGGTTTGGTCATCTAATGAGAATGAAACCAACGATGCCAGCAGCAAGAGCGTACAACCTGAAAATTTAAACACCAAGAGGCAGGGGAAGACTGAGAAGAAGATGTATTGAATGAGTCGCTGAGACCTTGAGACTGCATAACATCATGTCATATCAAGCGACCGAGCGCACCCTGGCTCAACTGTCAATTGTCTGATGAACTGCGGCATAAGCAGATATTAACAAAAGAAGAAGCTAAAGAAGGCTGTCTAGCCACAGCTTTCGCTGGTTGTTTGTTTTTGTGATATTATGAAGCTGGTTAGTTCTGCTTTTTATTTGGTTTGATATCTGGATAAGATGAATTTCTGATAAGAACCACTTCTTGGGTTTCCGGTAAGTTTTCCTTATTAGGTCTGTGCTGTATATTTTTTAAGGCCACCATATCTTTTGTCAGTTACAGACTGAACATTAGCCTGTAGTCTTTGTTAACGGATGTAACTGAAAATATCTCCACCGTTTGTCAAATTATTGTTGAAATTATCACAAGTTCTGGGTTAGAAATATCTCCACCGTTTGTCAAATTATTGTTGAAATTATCACAAGTTCTGGGTTAGAAATATCTCCACCGTTTGTCAAATTATTGTTGAAATTATCACAAGTTCTGGGTTAGAAATATCTCCACCGTTTGTCAAATTATTGTTGAAATTATCACAAGTTCTGGGTTAGAAATATCTCCACCGTTTGTCAAATTATTGTTGAAATTATCACAAAGTTGAAATTAGGGTTCTGGGTTAGAAATATCAAATTATTCAGATTTCCACTTGGTAGGATGTGTCAACCCTAGAGCTATGCTGATTGACCCTAGAGCTATGCTGATTGACCTTAGAGCTATGCTGATTGACCCTAGAGCTATGCTGATTGACCTTAGAGCTATGCTGATTGACCCTAGAGCTATGCTGATTGACCTTAGAGCTATGCTGATTGACCCTAGAGCTGTGCTGATTGATCCTAGAGCTGTGCTGATTGACCCTAGAGCTGTGCTGATTGACCCTAGAGCTATGCTGATTGACCCTAGAGCTGATTGACCCTAGAGCTGTGCTGATTGACCCTAGAGCTGTGCTGATTGACCTTAGAGCTATGCTGATTTCAATAACGTGATTTACGTTTGTGGTGGCTATGATGGAACTGAGCACTTATCCAGTGTGGAGAGCTACAACCCAAGGTCTGGACAGTGGTCAACGGTCACCAGCATGCAGGTTCCCCGGTGCTATGTTGGAGCTTGTGTCTTTCAAGGAAAACTCATGGTGGTGGCAGGGTAGGAAAGGGCAGCTCTTGTTGCTGCTAGCTTGATCTGTGTTACATAAGTATAACATAACCCTTGACCTGCTAGGGTTGTGGGTGTGTATCAAGGCAAGCACCTACACACAAAACTAGTCATCTTTCCTTGTCTTCCACCAATTGAACAAGGTTAGTTGCGTATCCTTTACAGGATGTTGCAAAACCAACCCCAACAGCCCCTGGCTGTTGTGTGGTTTTTGTAGGCAAATTTACGTCCAGTAGTTTGCCATTGCTTTTTGGACTGTCGGCTTTCTTGATACCACTGTCGAAACCAGCGCAAGGCGCATGGCCCACAGCTGGGATCGAACCCGGCGTTAGGAAGTGTTCGCATCGACTTAGCCACAGAGCCGACACTAAACAAGTGGATAATAATTTAGTCCTGTCTGTTTCTTGATGTTATCATTCCATGTTTCTTTCTTTGCCCCCCCCCCCCCCCCCCCAATTTTCCTTTGATTACCTAGAAGTATATAGTCTTTGCAATTAATTCATGTCTCACCGTGTGCCCTAACCAAACTAGTCTGTGTTGCTGAATTACATATACTTGGCAGCCAGGTGTGTCATTTTTTTTTTGTCTTCCTTTACTTTTGGCGTCTGTGGCTTAGAGGCTATGAACGCATTTTTCGTAATTCTAACATAGGGGGTAGGGGATATGTCACTTTAAAGCATGGCTGTGATTTCTGCATCTGTCAGCAAGTTTTGCTTCTCCATTTGGAAATTTGCTAGGAGGTGCCGGTGTACAGCCTACTGTATGCATTGTCAAACTGCCAAAAGATCAGTGTAGAATGATGACCTCAGGCTAATACATAATTTTATAAATATACTGTTGGTCATACACTCTTTCCTTTCTTGCCTGTCTTTCTGCCTCTTACTTTCTCAGCTTTTTGTTACTTGACCGTTCTTTTTCTTCTTTCATGGTTGCTTTAATGTTCTTTGTGTGTTTTGTTGTGAGTGTCTATGTCTGGCACTGATAGCATAGGGAGGGAATGAATATGCTTTGTATGAAAAGTTTCTTTGTGCTGATTGGCATTGCCTTATCCTGTAAGAGGGGGGGCTAGCTGTCCCAATTCTTGGCCAGCTTTACTGCATCGGATGTTAATTTCTTCATCCAATTTACCATCTTCAGTGAATGTTGTTCCAAAAGCTATTTAAAATCAGATGCTTGTTTAATATATGTATGCTCTAATGCTATATTTAAATTCTGCTTCTTTCTTCCTATTGACATTACTTCTGTCTATTCAGTGTTGATTTCTCATATTATTTGATTTACATTCTTCATTCAAAATGTTAGCCTGCCAAATTTTTTAATGTATATATATAAAGAGAGATAGAGAGATAAATGCATATAATTTGTTTTCAGTTTAAATAATTTAATTATACATTTGGATATAATGGATATTGTTAATATTTTCTAATGTTACTTTCAGATATGACGGGAAAACGCTCCTAGACACATTAGAAGTGTATGAGCCTCTGCAAGGGACCTGGAAAAATGTTAGCAAAAACATGACAATATCAAGATGTGATGCTGGTGTTACGGTTATTCGACCTGTGTAGTTATCCGTGTGTTATCCTTTCTGGATACAACTGGATACAACATATATATTATACATATACCTGGTGATAGTGACAGACAGTTGTTTGTTTCGTAATTGTCTTTTGAGCATTCCAGTAAATTCACTTGCTATTGTTCTAACTATTATCATGCAATCCGTCTGTGTCTTCTTTTGCCTTATATCTTTCCTGGTGTTTTCTCTGCCTTTTGTTTCTTTTTTGGATGTCAGTCTTCTTGGTTTTTGGTATCAAATAAACCAAACCAGTTTGATGAAGAAAACACTAGAGGGATTTTTCCTAAGTAGACCACAAATGAACAACTGCGGAGGTAACTAAAAATGTACATCGCTGGCAAACATTATCAAAGGGAGAAGTAGGAGATGGCTTGGACATGTTTGGAGAATGCCTCATGACACTCTGAAAAAAATGTTGAATTTAGAATCGGCATCACAGCACTCGGGACACTCCCATAAGTGCTCAGTTCCCCCATCTTCAGTACCATCAACAGTAACCGTCTGATTATATATCCATCTCATCCTTCCTTGAGTGTTGATATTTGGCTAGATCCCATGGTAGCTCCTCGCAGGCCTATTCTCCTTAGACCGAAATGATCTATCTGACCCCTCCGCACTGTTCACTCACTCCCAAAGGGCCCTCACAATATTTAACTTGTCTTACATCAGTTCACCACCAAGCGGTGCAGAACCGGCCAGTCTATCTTCCTGCTCATTTCCCAACACTTGGCAGGCCCAGGAGAAAATATCCAAAGGATGCTAACTATCTGGGAACATGAAGTGATGCTTGCCACTCTGCACGAAGCATGCCTGTTTCATCTTTCCCAACATACTCTGTAAGTCAGTTACAATCACAGCATGTGTGTACAGCTGATTCTCAAGCCACGGGAAGGCAGCAGAGACTGACTCACCTCCGTTCTCAAACTAGACACTCTTACAAGGACAGCTGTCTGATGGACGGCAGATAGAAAAAGGAGAGTCATGGGCGAGCTAAGGAAACCTGTAGACCGATGGAAGAAAGGGGAATGAACGAATGTTAAAATTACGTGAGAGTTCACCGACTGTAAACTCTGATGGAAGAAAGGGGAATGAACGAATGTTAAAATTGCATGGGAGTTCACCGACTGTAAACTCTGATGGAAGAAAGGGGAATGAACGAATGTTAAAATTGCATGGGAGTTCACCGACTGTAAACTCTGATGGAAGAAAGGGGAATGAACGAATGTTAAAATGACATGGGGGTTCACCGACTGTAAACTCTGATGGAAGAAGGGGGAATGAAGGAATGTTAAAATGACGTGGGAGTTCACCGGCTGTAAACTCTGATGGAAGAAAGGGGAATGAAGGAATGTTAAAATTGCATGGGAGTTCACCGACTGTAAACTCTGATGGAAGAAAGGGGAATGAAGGAATGTTAAAATGACATGGGAGTTCACCGGCTGTAAACTCTGATGGAAGAAGGGGGAATGAAGGAATGTTAAAATGACATGGGAGTTCACCGGCTGTAAACTCTGATGCAAGAAAGGGGAATGAAGGAATGTTAAAATGACATGGGAGTTCACCGGCTGTAAACTCTGATGGAATATTCTGGTTGTTCATCCACTTATGGACTTCAGTTTTGCATGCGCATCTGTTTTCCAGATCTGGTTTATTTTTATGCAGACTGTTGGTTCATTGCTTCTCAGGCAGATGTACGAATTTAAAGGAAAAGCTCCTATTTACAAGTACATTTAATAATGTACTTGTTGGGAGGGGGGTGTAATTATTTTTTCTCCCCAAAATGGGAGAGGTTTTCCTTTCTGGAAGCCTCACAAGAACGCTGGAGATCAATAGTGAATACCTTTATGTGTCAACAGTGACACAACAGGATTTAGACAGTTGTATTTTTAGTGGTTACCACACACACAGCATAAGACATTAAAGGTATCAGTCTCTGCTTGACAGATCGTTGTAATAGAACTTCAGCGTAGACATTGCTAGGAAAACTTTTTAGTTACCAGGTGTTGTTGTCTCATTCTTTTTCCGTGTTCCAGTTATTTGGTTTGTGATGAACCACTTTCATTGCTCATGAATACGGCTGTAAGTGTTCATTCTCCTCTCATGATCACAGGAGGTTCCCAGCACAGTACATGAAATTTGTAGGATTGATAAAGATTTCATGTGTTTATTCTAAAATTCTTGTATATAGAATTTGTGTGTGTGTGTGTGTGTGCATTTTTCTTTAGAAATTGAATTAGAGCAGTCAGGCTTTTTTGTCTTCTCCTTTTTTTTTTTTTTTTTTTCTGTCTTCAATGGCCAAGAGGTTTTTCATGTGGCCCATGTGTAAATATGTCCTTGAGTTTTTTACCGTGATCTAAAAATTCATTATACACACTGCCATGGGAGGGAGGGAGGGAGGGGTGAGAAAGAATGTTTAGAGATTAGGATGTCTGCCAAGCAAAAAGCATCATCTGTAAGTAGCCCCTTCCCACACAGAATATTTATTAAAGGTAATGGTAATCTTTCTCCCCCCCCCCCCCCCCCCCGCACCCTCCCCTCCCCTTAAATTGGTGGAGCTTAATCTCATGGTTGCAAAACAGGCTTTGAGCCTTTGTGCATATTTAGCCTGATGTCTCTTGTGTACACATTAACAAACTTGATTTTGTGCATCGAGGATCATGTGTAGCATTTTCAGTTAATGCCCTGTCACTTTTGTCAAAACCACGCCTGTTTGTGATACTCTGACATGAAAGTATGCATGAAATATAATTGTGAAGATAGTAGAAATGTTGTCTTTATTGCTAGGGTGGTCACTGTGAGTAATCAGCCAGTATTGCTCTCTCCCGTGTTAGCAGGATCACTAAGGGAGGCAAAGAATAGTTTCTTCTTACTAGAAAGGGCAGCTCGGCACTTGGTGTTGAGGCTTACATTTAGGACTTTTAACTTTACATGTGTTTTTTTTTTTCTCCCTGCTGTATAATCAGTGCTAAGCATGGGCCAGATTCCCTGGCAACTCCGCGCAGCCCCATTCTCCTCAGACTGTAATCTTATCTGCGCATCAGCACTGTTCAGTGGTTCCCAAAGGGCCCTCACAATATCTAGCTTGTCAGACATCAATTCACCACCAAGTGGTGCACAACCGCCCAGTCTATCTGCTTGCTCATTTCCCAACACACTGTCATTTCCGGCATGAGAATGCTGATCTTGAATCAACACTTGGTTGTTATCCTCTGTATTTGCCCTTGAAAAGGCGGTTGGAACGTTGTTTTGTGGTGATTTATTCTTCTTTATGTACACTGGCTGTAAATTCCAGCAGATATTTCTTGTTGTTCATCTAGTTCTAGACTTAAGTCTTATTCTAGATCTTGAGTTTTGCATACGCATATAGATCAGGCATATTTGTATGCATACTGGAGCTTCCTAGCTTTTTAGGCAGATGCACTCAGACTTAAAAGAAAACTCTAATTAGTTACTTTTTGCGCATGATTGTTAGAGGTAAGTAGTTGTTGTTTTTTCATCCCCAAAATGGGGTTCTGGAACCCACACGGAGTTTTTTATCGTTTAGAAGTACCTGGAACCCACACGGAGTTTTTATCGTTTAGAAGTAACCTGGAACCCACACGGAGTTGTAATACTTTAGAAGTAACCTGAAACCCACACAGGGTTGTAATACTTTACAAGTAACCTGGAACGCACACGGGGTTGTAATACTTTAGAAGTAACCTGGAACACACACAGGGTTGTTATCCTTTAGAAGTAACTTAGAACCCACATGGGGTTGTTATCCTTTAGAAGTAACCTGGAACCCACACGGGGTTGTTATCCTTTAGAAGTAACCTGGAACCCACACGGGGTTGTTATCCTTTAGAAGTAACCTGGAACCTACACAGAGTTGTTATCCTTTAGAAGTAACCTGGAACCCACACAGAGTTGTTATCCTTTAGAAGTAACCTGGAACCCACACGGGGTTGTTATCCTTTAGAAGTAACCTGGAACCTACACAGAGTTGTTATCCTTTAGAAGTAACCTGGAACATAGGCGGAGTTGTTATCCTTTAGAAGTAACTTGGAACCCACATGGAGTTGTTATCCTTTAGAAGTAACCTGAAACCCACACGGAGTTGTTATCCTTTAGAAGTAAAGCAAGCAAGGAAAGAGCATATATTCCACTTTGAAGTCCATTCGGCATACAATGCTGGTAGAATATTTGTTATAAACTGACTGGCGCTTGATATGATGTGATTCATGTCATACTGGCCACCTTTACTTCCCAAAATATTTCCTGTTAACCATTTTATGCTGTGTTAACTTGGGAAGCCCGGTTAAGATTGTTCTTTTTTTTTTTTTTAAATCCGTTTTGATGCAAATTCCTGCCCAAAACCACCCGGCCTAGCAGGCAGGATTTCATGCTTTAGATGTTTGTGTTTCACCCTCATGTACAAGTATATGTATTCTACAACTATTGCTGCTAAAGTGGGGACGGTGTTAATATGGGCATTTTGCTGTTTGTACAGTAATAAATATTTATTCCATCGACAATTTTGTTGTTTTGCAGTCACACATTACCGAAGCTGTTTAAATGCATTTCTTTTGTTTCACCCATACAGAAGTGGTTGGCACGTTGCGTTGTGGTTTACAGCTAAGCTGTGATATCTGCACTTTTCAGCTCAATGCATTTAATCTCAGCAAACTTAGTTAACCACCTTTTACAACATGCTTTTTAAGAACCAGTGAATCTATTCTTCTATTTTTCATGTGTCCCAAATAGAAACCTACCTGGGGATTTTTCCATCAGAAGTAAATTCACTAGTATTGGTTAGCACTCACAGAAGTAATGGGAGAAAAGTAGAGAGTAAAGGGCACACTAGACAGAGGACAAACTGAAAGCAATATAGTGGCCAGCTAGGTATCACACTGTCGGCCTATAAAAGACAACATTGCCTCACTGAATAAACAAATGTGTGTGTGTGTTAACTAGTATTGGTTAGCACTCACAGAAGTAATGGAAAAA